CGCCTCGCCCGCCCCGTCCAGCGCGCCCTCGCACGCGTCCTCCTCGGCCTCGTCCCACTCCTCCTCTTCCTCCTCCTCGGGCTCCTCGTCCTCAGACGACGAGTTCGAAGACGACCTACTCGACCTGAACCCCAGCTCAAACTTTGAGAGCATGTCCCTGGGCAGCTTCAGCTCGTCGTCGGCGCTCGACCGGGACCTGGATTTTAACTTCGAGCCCGGCTCCGGCTCGCACTTCGAGTTCCCGGACTACTGCACGCCCGAGGTGAGCGAGATGATCTCGGGAGACTGGCTCGAGTCCAGCATCTCCAACCTGGTTTTCACCTACTGAAGGGCGCGCAGGCAGGGGGGAGCGTCGGGGGTAGGAGAGGAGAAAAATAAAAAATAAAAAATGAAACGAAAAGGACAGACGAAGAGTTGAAAGAGAAAAGGGAAAAAAGAAAAAAAAATGAGCAGGGCTGGCTTCGACCGCGTTCCCGTCGTCGGAAAGGAGCGCGGCGGCGTTTTGGACCCGCGCTCCCATCCCCCACCTTCCCGGGCCGGGGACCCACTATGCCCAGCCGCAGGGACGCGGAGGAGGCAGAGGGTAGACAGGGGCGACCTGTTATTGTTGTTATTGATGTTGTTGTTGATGGCAAAAAAAAAAAAAGCGACTTCGAGTTTCCTCCCCTTTGCTTGAAGAGACCCCCTCCCCTTCCAAAGAGCTTCCGGACTTGTCTGCACCCCCAGCAAGAAACCGAGTTAGTTTTCTAGAGACTGAAGGAATCTCCCCGTTCCTGCATCACCACCTTGGTTTTGTTTTATTTTGCTTCTTGGTCAAGAAAGGAGGGGATAACCCAGCGCTCCCCTCCCCTCCCCCATTTTTAAACGCCTGATGAAGACAGAAGGTTCCGGGGTGACGAATTTGGCCGATGGCAGATGTTTTGGGGGAGCGCCGGGACTGAGAGACTCCACGCAGGCGAATTCCCGTTTGGGGCTTTTTTTTTCTCTCTCTTCCTTTTTCCCCTGCCCCGTCTGCAGCCAGAGGAGGAGATGTGGAGGGGAGGAGGCCAGCCAGAGTGACCGGCGCTAGGAAATGACCCGAGAACCCCGTTGGAAGCCCAGCAGCGGGAGCTAGGGGCGGGGGCGGAGAAGGACACGAACTGGAAAGGGGGTTCACGGTCAAACTGAAATGGATTTGCGCGTTGGGGAGCAGGCGGCGGCGGCTGCTGGTCCTGCGCCTTCCTTCTACGTGAAATCAGTGAGGTGCGACTTCCCAGACCCCGGAGGCGTGGAGGAGAGGAGACTGTTTGATGTGGTACAGGGGCAGTCAGTGGAAAGCGAGTGGTTTCGGAAAAAAAAAAAAAAAAA